GCTTGATAACCAGTAGTTTATTGGGGAAAAAGTACTCACGCAAGGGAGCCAGTGACCAGGTTTGCACCTGAGCAGGACGGACCCAGAAACGCTTCCCAGTCAGCTCAGCCTGGAGAAAGAGAGCTCACCTCCCTGCTTCCTAAACCCCTTGACCCCTTGGCCATGCTGACCAAGCAGGTGTGGTCAGTGTGGTCAGCGGGACCTCGAATCAGAGTTTCTCCCTACAATTCCCCTTTTAGTCTAAAGAGGATTTAGACTTGAGACAAAACTAACTTGTGTACAAAATGTCTTAGCATCAGTAAAAGCATACATCATCTTAAATAGAGAGAAGACTTTACAGAGTAGAATGATGTGTGACAAACAAAATATACATAAGTTACATCATACAAGGATCTATAACAGTATAAGTTATCTATAATTAACAATCATAAAGGTGAATTACAAGAAGGTACACTAATCTACTTATATCACATCCTAGCTATATCTACTCCATCTAAACTCTAAAGTCATCTGAGCGATGTCCAAGCCTGAACACCTCCTTCCAAACCCAACCCTAAACAATAGGAAACTAGCCCTAACTAGGTGTACATTAATTATCCTTAGTGTCAACATCAGGGAAAGGGGGCATAGTATTCTCCAAGTTACTTCCTGCTGAAATGGGACAACGATGGCCTCGTGGGGTCCTGTAGAAAGAAAATGTTAGATTTTCTTGAGTAGATTATCTAAACACATGTATCTAGTCCATGTTTGGTGGGAGATGCTTGATTGAAGGTCTAGGTCAAAGTCCTTATCCTGATTGAGGTCCTCGTGTGATTGAAGTCAGTACCTGAAGCTCTGTCCAGAGTGTCAGTTCAAACGAATTAAGTTGGATCCAGTGGACTCGATGGGATGGAGGCCATTTTCTTTCTAGAGAGTTCAAGGATTGCTGTTAGGAAGTTCTTCATTGGCTATGGGGAACTTAAACATTAATGTCAGCAGAGAAATTTTAACTTTTATCTGTGTGTATACCAGGAAAGGCCAGAATAAGGAAAATAATAATTATGAGGAATTTATACTTTTAGAAAAAGAGCCAAGAATAGACAAATGACGGTCCCCAATTTTTTTCTTATTCTGTATTACATTCAATTGGCTTCTTGATATAGTACAAAAACTCTGAATTTTATTTTAACAACATGCTTGGATTTAGAGGAGGAAAGCCAAATCCAACTCTACAGCCAGCATTGGTTTAATTGAATAGGAACTAGGAAGTAAAGAGAAATAGATTTTACCGAGAGACAGCTGTAGAGTTTACCATATGGCAAATTCCTTTTGTTTGATGGTTCTTTTTGGATAGCTACCTTCTCTTCTTTAAGTATCCACCCATGCAGTATCTTTTTGCTTTCTGGAGATGAGTTCCCCTGTGAAGATAAAAACAAAACACTTGCCTTTCCTTTGTGAGGTTTTTATACAGTTTATGAGATATACCTTGGTGGATGACCTGCCATTTCTCCTCATCGAGAGGTTTTTCTTGTTTGACTGAAATCTTGATCAACTTTGATGGTATCCAAAGCTTTTCTTCTCCTGTGGAAACAAAGGCAAAATCCCTTCCCCAATGTAACACATATCCTGGTTTCCATACAGAGGTCAATACATCTTTGAAGTATACCTGCTGATTTAGTTCAACAGTTTTTTCTGAAGTCCAGTGTCTTTCTGCAGCTGTTTGTCCATTCTCATTAGCATTAAGAAAGTTCAGTGTTAATAAAGCATTATGTAACCTATGTTTGGGGGATTTTGTTCCTCCTGCCTGTTTATGGAGCATTTCTTTCAGTGTTCTATTGAATCTCTCTACCAGTGCTTGTCCTGTGGGATTGTGTGGTATACTGGTTACGTGTTTTATGTTATAATATTTGAAAAACTGTTCCAATTTGGAGACATATGCTGGAGCATTGTCAGTTTTTATTTGTACAGGTATACCCATAATGGCCATTACCTCTAACAGGTGTGTTATAACAGAATTGGCCTTGAAACCCTGAAAATGTGTATATAGTATAATGCACATATTTTAAATTTCCAAATTCTGAAAAGTGAAAGACATCCATCTGCCAGACCTCATTTCTCCAAATGCCCTTAGGATTACAGCCTGCTGGCAATGGAGCTTGATTGTAGAACGAACAGGTAGGACAGTTTTTCACTATCTCCTTGGCTTGTTGCCAAGTGATGGAAAAAAATCCCTTTTTAAAACCTTTGCTATTTACATGGTGTTTCTTATGAAATTCTGAGGTTTCTAGCACACTTCCTATTAATAAATGATCAATCTCATCATTGCCTTGTGCTAGTTGGTCTGGCAGATCCGATGGGATCTGATGTGTGTTATATATATCAGATTAATTCTGTTCCTGATTGTGCCCTGTGCTTTAAGCCATGTCTTTCTATTCCAATTATTGTCTGTAGTTGAGAAATTTCTCCTAGCAATTTCTGTAGGTCATTAAGAGTTTGATAACGATCTCTTCTAATTTGTATTTTTTGCAGCCTGATTTTTTGTGAGGCTATTTTATAACCTAAATAATTCATAGAATCTCCTCTTTGAATCTTTTCTGGGGCAATCTGTAATCCCCAAAGACATAGAACTTCCTTCAGTGTCTCAAACATCCATTCTAATGTTTCCTTCTTAGAATCGGACAATAATATGTCATCCATATAATGATACATTATGGAGTGTGGAAATTTCTTATGAATTATTTCCAAAGGTTTTTGTATGAAGTGTTGGCACAGATTAGGACTATTTTAACAGTCCCTGTGGCAAAACCTTCCACTGAAATCTCTTAACTGGCTTTGAATAGGTAGGTACCATGAATGCAAATTTTTCCCTATCATTTTCTTGTAATGGTATAGTGAGGAAGCAATCTTTTAGATCAATGACTATGATAGGCCATCCTTTAGGAATCAAGGAAGGCAAAGGCATTCCAGGCTGTAGAGAGCCTAAGGCTGAATTACTTTATTGATGGCTCTTAGGTCTGTCAGCATACTCCATTTACCAGACTTCTGTTTGATAACAAATACAGGAGAATCCCATGAGCTGGTAGATTCTTTTATATGCCCAGCATGTAGCTGTTCCTGAACTAACTTTTCTAAAGTCTCTATCTTGTTAGAGGTCATAGGCCATTGTCCTACCCAGACAGGTTTATCTGTAAGCCATTTTAAGGGTAAAGCTTTTGGTTCCTCTGTAGGTTTAGCATTTGTACTTTGTTTATGTACAGCTTGGATGGTTGGTGTCTGTTTTCATAGTGCCTTACTATATTTTGTCTACCATCTAGAGGCTGTATATGATTTGCATCTGAAACTGGAGGAATGTTAATCTGGGTATTCCATTGCTGTAAAAGGTCATGACCCCAGAGATTTATTTCAATATCTGCTACATATGGCTTTAATCTTCCTCTCTGTATGCAGACAACCCACCTAACTCACACTCTGGTGTACTCTAGATAGAGTTCCAATCCCTAAAAATTGAACATTCACCTCTTTTAGGGGCCATCTCTGAGGCAAGGACTTTTAGGTTATAATAGTTACATTCGCCCCAGTGTCCACCACTTTATTATTTATTCTTACTTTCAACTGAGGCCTCTGATCCTTTTTAGAAGTTTGCCAAAATATGCATTTTTTGTCTCCTCCAGTCACATTTGGTTCCTCCTCACTAGCCAAACTACCATCTAGAGTGGTACCATTCTTTACAATAGGCAATGTACTATCTATTTATCCTGTGAGAGATTGTCCTCACTGTGGGCTTCTTTGTATGTCTTGGTCAAACTCGGTTCAATGTCTGCCCTTACCACATCTCTTACATAATCCAGGAGGCAGAGGCCTTCTATATGAGACATTGTTGGAATTTCCTTGCCTACAATTTCTTTTAGTATGTCCTATTCTGCCACAAGTAAAACATCTAATATCATGATGCCTTCTCAACCCTCTGGGGATTGCTCTTGCTACCCAAGTTCCTGTTTCATTACAGTTACAGCATCTGGCCTCTTGGTGTCTTATTAGACCTTTGGAACTTGCTTCTCCTTCCCAAGCTTCTGTGTCATCACATTTAAGACATTTAGCCTCTCTGTGTCTTTTTAAACCTTTTGAGATTGCCTCTCCTACCCAAACTTCTGTATCTTGAGATTAGCTGTATGTAAGACCCACTCTTCCAGTGGTGCTGATCTGATCTTTAAAGGCCGAGCGACTAAATGGCTGAAGACCGAAAACGTCAGCAACCAGCATGGAGGTGACAGCAGCAGCAGCGGGTTCCTTTCAGTGTGAGTGGGTGGTGCCAGAGAGACTTGGTGGTGATGAGTGCTCACGGGTGTTTCTTTTTGTGGGGCGGGAGGGGGAGGGGAAGGGTTACCTGGGGGCAGGGGGATAAACCCCCATCCACGTCTCAGTCCATTGGTGAAGGAAGCAGGGCAAGAACTCACGGCAGGGACCTGGAGGCAGGAACAGAAGCAGAAGCCATAGAAAAGCCCTACTTACTGGTTTGTTCCTCATGGATTTCTCAGCTTGTTTTCCTAGAGCTCTGGGTTAGTACTTCCCTCAGTGAGTTGTGGTTTCCCACATTGCCAGTCAAGAAGAGGTACCACAGGCCAATCTGGAAGGGACTTTTCCCAATTAAAGTTTCTTCTAAAAGGATTCTAGTTTGTTGTAAGTTGACATAAAAACTATCTGGCACAACACGCTTTTAGAAAGTTCCCCTGGCTTCACCTACACAACGAAAGCGGCTTCCAGGCCTAGGGCTGTAGCTCTTGACAGGGTGTCCTGGGTGATTTAGATCCAGTCAAGTTGACAACAATGAATGACTATCACATCCACTTAAACCAAATCTCCAGAAAAACCAGGAAGAAATGTTTTTAATGAAAGAACTATTGTACAAAAGGATATGTATTTGGAAGAGAGAGAGAGAGAGAGAGAGAGAGAGAGAGAGAGAGAGAGAGAGAGAGAGAGAGAGAGGGGTGGGGGGGGGGGTGGGGGGAGAGGCGCGCCTGCAGAACTGCAGAACCTCAGAGCTCTCTTGTCCCCAGGGAAAAATGCTCTGTGCGAGGGAGAGTCACTAGGACCAGAGATGACTTAGCTGTCAGACACTACCTCTTCTGGTTGCTGCTCTGAGTAGCTTCCCGAAGGGGATAACTGCAAAGAGGAAAGAAATGGGACTTTCCAAAGCAATCCCAGGCCCTCTGACTTCCTCCTGGGAGTCTCATTGGCCACAGCCACCCAGAAGCCATGACAAAGCTATTACCATGCTGGCCTGTTCAGGTCAGTGTGCAGGGCAGAGAGGAGAGGTCACTCTGCAGGGTCACTCTAGTGACAAGAGGCTTCGGGAACTTTGCTTATCTGCGTTCCAGGCCCAGGTTCAAATATCTCTGCACAGAGCAGACCCAGCAGGCAAGAGCTGAGCCTTAAGGCCTTATTAGCCTCAGACAAGAGTGTATGCTAGTACCTCAACAGTCTTCTTCTTCTTCTTTTGGAGCCAGAAAAAGTAACCACTGGGCAAGAAAAAGGCAAGAGAGAGAGAGAGAGACAGGTTAGTGAAAGAACAGGTATGTGTCCTTCTGGCCACTGGAGTTGGGAGGAGCCACTCACCCGATACCAGCCACAGCCAGGAGCATCAGGACACTGACAAGGATCACAGCCCAACTGTAGTTCCCAACGACCTTGACTGGGGTGGGAAAGGAGGAACCAGGTGTTTGAAGGCTGGGGGGTGGGCATTTGTGGTTATAAAAGGCCATGTCCTGGGCAGATTTGCCCTTCAAAAAAAAGTGTTTTCTTTACTGGGGACTGCCAATACTGGAGGGGTAGGAAACAGTGAGAAAGGTTGCTGCACTTGAGAGGTGCAAGAGAGGCCTGAGGAAGAGTGGTGAGGTTTGAGGGCTTGAGGTATAGTCAGTGTAGCTGGAGGACCTGAATTCCATCCCTGGTGGGATGCACCTGTCATCCCAGAGCTTGGGAGCAGGCCTCAGGCAGACTCCTGAATCTCACTGGCCAGCCGGCCTAGTGTATTTGTTGAACTTTAGGCCAATTATGTCAGGATATGCCCTCATGCAGCCACTAAGTGCACCACCTATGCACATTCACTATGTTCCCCTTTAGGAGGGCCCTGGCATGCACAAAGAGCAACACATTGGAAAATGGTCATCTGACACTATGGAGTCTCTTTCTTCTTCCTCCTCTTCCTCCTCCTCCACCTCCTGTTCTCTCTCTCTCTCTCTCTCTCTCTCTCTCTCTCTCTCTCTCCCATTCTCTCTCTGTCTCTCTCTCTCTCCCCAAGGGTTTCTTTGTGTAACAGTCCTGGCTGTAGACCAGGCTAGCCTCGAGTTCACAGAGATCTCCCTGCCTCTGCCTCCTGAGTGCTGGGATCAAAGGTGTGCTACACAGAGAAACCCTGTCTCAAAAAACAAAACAACAAAAAGAGGGCCCTGCTTATCTCCCATCTTTCTCCCTTTTTTCTCTGCCTGTCTGTTTCTCCTCTCTCCTCTCTCTCTCTCCCTCTCTCTCTCTCTCTCTCCCTCTCCCTCCCTCTACCCCCCCATCTTCTCCTCTTCTCTCTCTCTCTCTCTCTCTCTCTCTCTCTCTCTCCTCTCTTCTCTTCTGCTCTTGTTCCCAGAGGCTGGTCTCCTCTCTCCCTCCCTCCCTCTCTCCCTCTCTCTCTCTCTCTCGCTCTCTCTCCCCCTCTCTCTCTCTCTCTCTCTCTCTCTCTCTCTCTCTCTCTTCTGCTCTTGTTCCCAGAGGCTGGTCTCCTCTCTCTCTCTCTCTCTCTCTGTCTCTCTCCCCCTCTCTCTCCCTCTCTCTCCTCTCTCTCTCTCTCTCTCTCTCTCTCCCTCTCTTCTCTTCTGCTCTTGTTCACAGAGCCTCTTCTCCTCTCTCTTCTCTCTCTCTCTCTCTCTCTCTCTCTCTCTCTCTCTATCTGTGTGCGTGTGTGTAAATGTGTGATAATTAAAAGCTTCTCTTACCTTCCTCCCATTTCGCATTTACTTTCCCACACCAGCAACAACAAAAACCTTCCACCCAAGCTCTGTTGCATGGTTGGTGTCTTTCTCTCACTTGCTTTTAAATGACAACAATGGGAGTGTTGCAGGTGTTCTGAATCTGAGGACCCAGAAGCAGTGGCTCTCAGGCTCTAAAGCCAGGGAGATTCTGTTGTCCTTCACCCAACATGAAAAGAAAATCCAGGACCTTTCTAGCTAGGATAGAAAAAGAATGATGGGCAGAGATGGGAAACCCAGGGGCAGAGGGTTTGGGAAAGGGAGGATGAATGGAGTAAAGCCCAAAGAGTTGGGCAAAGGCCACCTACCACTGCAGAAGGTAGGGTCTTTGCAGGTCAGGAAGTGCGTCTGGCAGTCAGCACACACAGTGATTTCCGTTGGGGAAAAGATGTCTGTGAGAGCAATGAACAGGAGCCTCAGATGTGGCAGGGCCTCTCATCCCTTCCTCCAGCTCAGCCCTGGGCATACTCACCACAGGAGTCATTGCAGGCTGCCCAAGAAAGTGAGATGGTGGAGAAACTGAGACACTAGAGAGGCAGACAGAGCTGGGAGTGGTGGGGGTGGGAGCAGGACATGGCACTAGGGAACTCATGGAAGGAACCTAACCTGTGGGTAGGACAGAGCTCCTGGGGAGATCTTAGGAGTGGCTGCCCATTGGGTTCCACAGTCCGTGGTCAAAGGATGATGGGTGGGGGAGTGGGTAGGGACAGCCCCATCTCCTACCCCTCTGCTTCAGCTCCTGGGACCTGTCCTTCAGTTTCTCAGTCAGCAGACCTTCCTGAACACTGATCTCTTCCAGAAGTGCTGATTTATCTGGGTGTATCAGATGGGAGAAACTTACTGATATGAAATCAGTCTTTTGTGTACATTCACACATATATGTACAGGTACCCATGCATGTGAGCATGGAACCTGGCAGTCACCCTTGGGTGTTGTTCCTCAGGAATCACCACCTTATTTTTGTGACAGGGTCTCTTACTCTCTTCTGACTGCCAAGTGAGCCACTTGAATCCTCCTGCCTCTGCCTCCTCAGCAGCAGAGTGATAGGCACAGCCACTGTACATTTTTAAAAATGTGGGTTCTGGGAATTGAACTCAGATCTTCATGCTTAAAAGGCAAATCTTTCATCAATTGAGCCTTCTGTCTGGCTTTTATTTTAAAGAAGTGTGTGTGTAGGGGAGAGGCACATGCCTATAAGTCTGCCCCTCCAAGTGCAGGGATGCACATGTCACGGGATGCATATGGAAACCTTAGATGACACAGCTCTCACGTCCACCTTTCTTGAGGCAGGCTTTCTCACTGTTTGTTGCTGTGTGTATGCAGCTAGCTGACCCAGGAGCTTCCTGGGAATCTTTTGTCTCCACCTCCTATCTGCCTTTATGAGCACTGTATTACAGATATGCGCTACCACTCCTAGCTTTACCAGGCTGGGCTCTGGGGACCTGAACTCAGGCTTCGTGCTTGTGTAGGTAGCAGTTTATCTACTGAACCATTTTCCCAGTCTCCCCTGACTGTCAGACTTGGTCTCATGTATCCAGACTGATCACTATGTAGCAGAGGATGATCTTGAATTCATGATCCTCTCGTCTTCGCCATTAAGTGCTAAATTATGTCTGTCTCACCATAAAATACATAGTGACACAGTGACACCGTGTGCTCTTCAAGGAAGCTTCTCTGCCCACTACCGAAAGAGCCTCCAGGGAATGCTGTTTAGATCAGGTTTTGGTACTCCGACTTAATCCTTGGGGTCCTTACCATCCCTCAGCTTCTTAATGGCCTCGTCTACACGGGTGAAGAATGTAGCTGTTTCCTCTTCCAAATGGTCTCGAGCTGAGAATGGGACAGGGGACAGAGGGATGTTGGGGACAGGATCAGGTCAGGTGAAAGGGTGCTCCCATCCCTGCCTGGCCGTGCCTCACCAAGGTACCAGGGCGTGAATAAGATGCTATCCTCCAGGAAAAAGGAGTGTAGGAATTGTGAGAGTTCTGTGGGTGGCCCTGGGCTGCCCCAGAGCACCTGCAGGTCATAGTCCAGAAGGGCGGGCAGCTCTGGCCAGCATTGGAGGCAGCCCTTCCCGTCAGACACTGGCAGGAGGCAGATCAGCAAGATAGGAAGCATCTTCTGGAGTCTTACCCATGTATTCACAGCCCCATATGGAACACGTTGCCCTGGGAACAGCAGAACAAAGGTAAATTCCATGGACACAGCAAGGGTCCCCTGAGGTGAACCCAGGTTTAGGCATCACACTAGCAGAGGGAGACTGAAGAAAGTGACATCAACATCAACATATGAAAGAAGCCAGGTGGCAGCCAAAGGTCTAAGCTTCAGGGTTGGTGGGAGGAGGGAAGGACACTGAGATGTGTTGTCTATTTGGGTAAAAACTTAAGGAGTTATTAATGACATTGACATTCAGACATGTGGCCTAGTTTTGGGACAGTATATGAGTACTTGTCCAACAGGTCTTCAGATGAGGCAAAAGCCCACAGGGAGAGTCTCACTTGGCAAGGACCAGTGGACTTTGGGACAGTGCAGAGTCCTGCTGCAACTGGGCATCCTGCACCCTTTCTTCTCCCTTGTAATATTGATGATTCTCCTGGCGTCATTTTGCCAATCATGCATGGGAAAAATATGATTGTTCCTGGAAACCCCGTTTTTTCTCTAATATCTTCCCTTAAAGTTCTTTGGGAGTGGATGCTTCTCAGGTTTCTTGTCTGGGGATGCCAGCTGTCACTCTAGACCCTGGGAGCTGTTTTGATTCAGTGCTGACAAGATGGGAGGTAGATCACCCCCAGTTTTGTAAATAGTTTTGAATGGGATTGTTGTTTTTAAAAATGTGTGCCTATGTCAGTCATCTCTTTAGTTTTGTAAAGATAGGATGTACCTGGCTCAATATTTGACCAAGCCAGCAAAATGACAAGTGTTGCTTTGGTTTAAAGATGTATTGATGTCAAAGTTGGGAAAAAAACACATTTGACATATTTGTTCTTGCCGGAGGATAACATTGGAGGATGGGAAAAACTTGTTTGTTAGAATGGAAGAACATGCTTGTTTTTCATGTGTAAATAAAGACTGCTTGAGCTTCTGGGCCAGTCACTTGTGTGAAACTCATCTGGTCGTGGGACACTTCATTTCTTTGAGCCAATGCCCCCTCTCCACCTCAGGACTCGAACCCAGGCTGTGGCAGGACTACAGCAAGCAACAGTTGTTAGAACTTAGTGGTTCGTAACAACATTTATTTGTTATTGTTTGTTAGTGTCTAAAAGTTTAGGACTGGATGAGCTGGGCTCTCTGCTCAATGGATCTCACTAGGTTAAATTTACCATGCCATCTGGAAGGCCTGAGATTATGTCAGATAACCAACTTTTGACTCCACTATCATGGCTTCCATCCATGATGATTAGATTTATTACTTTGGGTCTTTGTGCATGGCAGCAGAAGCATGGCAGAGTACATGTCATGGTGGAGGAGTAAGCTCCTCACTTCATGGTGGCCAGGAAGAAAAGAGAAAGCAAAAGGGGAAAGAGACTAGAGTTCATCATCCTCTTTAGTGGAAATTCACGGTAGCTCAACTTTCTCCCACTGGGCCTTATTTCTCAAAGGTCCTGCCACCTTCCCAGACTGTCTCCTGAAGAAGGGCTAAGGCTTTAACACTGGGCCCTTGTGAGATATTTTCCCAACTGTGGCAGTAGTTGAAGGGGTCGTGGCTGTTGGACTGGAGAGAGGGGTGCTTTCAGCATGTAGAGATACTTCAGTTCCCTGCCCTGGCTCCCTCCATAGCCTTTTATATTCCTTGAACTTTATACCTTCAGGAAGGGATATGTTTCTTTAAAAAGGCCTGCATAAGACAATCTCTGCTTTGGTTAACTCAAAGCTATACTGATTTTAGGTCTCAGTCATGTCTATAGACTCCCTTATCTTAATCCCATGCAAAATCCATCACACAGTGTGACCCTCACACCTGAGTGTTCGCTGATGGTCCTATCTGGATGGGGTGCTTTCAGATTCTTGTTCAAAGAATTCAAATTCTTTGAAAAAAACAATGCAAATTAACAAAGGGTTTTATAAGTAAAGGAAAGGAGTGGAGATGATATACAGCAAGGGAGCTGTAGGCCCTCAGTGAGGTTTGTGCAATAGCCTGGGTTATTTAACCAAGTTTTTCCTTAAAACATACCATTAATTACCTTTATTAGCTAAACTGGAAATGATATCTATTTTTCTCAAAGAATAAACTTTAGTTCCTTTATGGCTCCTGGAGGATGAGGAGTGATTGCTTGGGCAATAGGTTGTTTTGCTCTGATAAACTCATTCACAGGTTTTGGTTCTACATTTACTATGTATGACCTTTCCCATAATGCCTTTGAGTTTAATCACATTCATGTCCAATCATGTATAGGCATAGGATGTAAAGAAGGGATTATACCTAAAAGTTCATTCTGGGGACACAAGTCATTTTACTGCATGCTTATCTAAAGCTAGTGCAGGCTGGATCAGCTCACTGCCTCTAGCTCTGGATTTTGTTTCAGGACGTGTTTGAGCACAGAAAGGGAGTTGCTGGAAAGATGTTGGGACAGAGTGAACTGGTTGCCTTATTTGGAAAGGATTTTGCATATAACTAAGTGTAAGTGGAGGCCCTGGGTTGCTAAGGCATCCCATAAAACTTCAAGAGGATTTTTCAGCATTTGTATCTGAGGGGTTGGAAACCTTGAAACCATCCCAGAATTCTGTTAATCATACTTTGGACTCCCAAACCCCTGCTCTCTGAGCATTTGACAATGTCAGCAGCTCCTCCACCACTGTGTTAGGAAGGCTCCTCCCACAGCCTTTTAGCAGGAAACTGAGCTTGTTGCAGGCCTAGCTGCGATGTATTCCTGACTATAGCAGCACAGTGTTAGTGCAGTTTCCATGACTCGAAGAAATCCTCCACAAGCATCCCCCACTTTAGAGGAGGGGACAGGAGAGCCCAAGAGAGGATGGATATGTTTAAAGTACATGATACATGTGCATATAAATGTCTTAACAAAACCCATTGTACAAGGACCATGAACTAATGAAAAGAAAGAATCCCCCACTTTAGACACTAGCTTCAAGCTTTACAATTTGCCCAGCCACTTTCTCTTCTCACAAGTCACTAAACAATGTGTAGTTCCTATTCTGCCCTTAGATATGATTCACTAGAATAGCTTGCAGATCTCCAGCAAGCATCCTGTCATTCTGTTTCTATGGTGAAGGATAGGGATCAGGACCAGTCAAGTGGAGCCACACATGACAGGGACAAAGTTTTGGAGGGTACCAAACCCCATGTCCTGAGGGTGCATTTCTCTGGTGTGTTAATGTAGATCACCATCCAGGAAGCTTGCTGGAATCTTGGTGTTCAGTTTTCCCAGAGGCTTCATTGTGTTGGTATGACTGACTGCTAAGATAACCAAGACCCAGAGACTAGAGAGTCCAGGGACCTAGGATAAAGCAAAATAACATTGGTCTAAAGTAGTGCTAAAATGACTCCTAATGATATTCTACTATACTCAGATTAGTGCCTTCTTCAGCTAGCATTGGAGAAGCCTCATCCTATAGCAGATGGGGGCAAATACGAGACCCACAAGCAGATGTTATGCAGAGAATGAAAACAAACATTGGCACACAGCTCTAAATGGGATGTCTCCACCAAATCCTTTTCCTTAGAGTTCAGGGGATCCCTCAGAAGAGGAGATGGAAACAATGTAAGAGACAGAGGGGATGGAGGACACCAGGAGAGCAAGCCCCCCTCCAGCAACATGAAAAGCTCACATAAACTCACAGAGGCTGAAGCAGCATGCACAGGGCCTGCCTAGGTTTGCACCAGGACCAGTTCACTGTTTTTATGGGATTCCTGGGTGTAGGACATGCCTGGTGGCACACGTCTTTAATCCCAGCACTTGGGAGGTAGAGGCAGGTGGATCTCTGTGAGTTCGAGACCAGCCTGGTCTATAAGAGCTAGTTCCAGGACAGCCTCCAAAGCCACAGAGAAACCTTGTCTTGAAGCCCCCCCAACAAAAACCCCCAAACAAAAAACAACAAAACAAAAACAAAAACAAAACAAGTGGGTCTTTGACTCTTGTGCTTTCTCCTGGGCTCTTTTCCTTCTTCTGTTTGTCTGTCTTGTCCAACTTTTGTTTGATCTTATTGTATTTTATTATTTTCTCTGTCTCTTTTATTGTTTTATTTGTTGAGACAGGGTGGCCTTAAACTCACAGAGATATGCTTCTGCCTCTCGAGTGCTGGGATTAAAGGTGTGTGTCACCATACCCAGCTTCATTGTTAAGTTTTTAGAAGCCTGTTGTTTTCAGTTGAGAGACAGAAAAGGAGCAGATTCAGATGGGAGGGGAGGTGGCGAGTGGGGGAGTAGAAGGAGCAGAGACTGTAATCAGGATATATTATGAAAGAAAAGAATTTATTTTCAATGAAAAGGAAAATGCTAATAAAAAAGCAAGTATTCCAGCTGGCTGGGACTTACACTGAAGTATTCAGGACCTGAGTGTAGTCCTGAGCAATGAGAGCAAGGAACAACTATATCCTGCTAACTCGCTGTGCAGCTGCAGGGAGAGGTTTGCACAAGCAAACAGTATAACAGAAACTAAGTTAGCTAAGGCATCTTGACCTTGATTTCCTACAACAGAGTTGTGTAATTTTCCATGGAGATCAAATTCTAGTTAAACTTGAAATGGCCTCAGCAAGAATATAAGATGGAAGAACCTCTGCATTGTCTTGTCCTGTCACACACCTCTTTCAGTCTCCAATTTTAATGTTCCCAGAAAGCGTGGCCCTAGTGAAGTCAGCTAGCATAAATTTAAGGCAATGTCTGGTTGAAGTGCACCAAAGCTACATCTCTGGGCAAATCCTCTGTGTGGCCTGAGACATAAATCCAGCCTCAGACTCTCCTGTTGATTCAGCAAAGCTCATGAAGAGCCATGAACAATACAGCTATGACAGCCAGGACAGGTAACACTTCACAAGCTCCTACGGTTCAACATCCAAGGAAGGTGGTCAGAGTAGTGGAAGACAGCTTGTCCCAAGAACCTTAATTTATTCCTCCATTCACATACATGTGTTCTATGAATACTCATTGAGGTGTGTCTTCTCTGTGTCAGCTGGGTTCTGTATACTGATCACTGCTTGTGTCCACCTGGATTGCATGTACATGTGTGTGGAAGCTAGAGACAAATGTCAGATAGGCTAAAATAATTCAGGTCC